CGCGGAGCTCCTCCTGCTTCCCCTCTCCTTCCGCCAGCGCCGCGGCTGCGCGGTTCCTGCCATCTTCTATACTCCGGGACTGCGTTCCCAGCCTTGCGTCCAGTGGGAGTTTCCTCCAGCTCCACCATGTTGAGCCCACGGCAAGGCCTTCTCAGGCCTGTGGGATGCGGGGTGGAGGAGCTGCGGCGCCGCCGGCGGGAGCGGGAGGCAGGTGCGGGCGGGGAGGGAACACGGGAGGGTGGGGTGTGCCCGGGTGGGAGATGGGGTTCTCGGTCCTGGGTGCCCCTCCGTTGCCCCCAGCCGACTCCTTTGTCCCCAGCACTGCGGCGGGCGCGAAGGGAGCAGCAGCTGGTCAGCAAGAGGCTGCTGAGAGACGACACCCCAGAGGAAGCCGAAGGGGGATGTGTGGCCTCGGTCCTCGGGGAAGCCGAGGTGAGGGGGTCAGGGTGCGCGGTGAGGTCCATACAGGCTGGCGCCAAATTCCCTCCTCGAGGACTCGAGGTCGTCCCCAAACCTGAATGCGGTCCCTTCAACCTCCAGTGCGCCAAGCCAGAAACTGGGGTGTCAACCTCCACCCCATCCCGGCTCCTCCCCACATCAGTCCTTCAAGGCCTAGCCGTTTTTTACCTCGTAAAGAGCTCTGAAGTTTTGTGGTTTTTTAAAAAAAATCCTCACCCGAGGATATTTTTCCATTGATTTTTTTTTTTGAGAGAGAGAGAGAGTGGAAGGGAGGGGGAAAGATAGAGAGAAACATCGATGTGTCACATCGCTAGAGAGACACATCCTTGGTTGCCTCGTGTATGCGTCCTGTCCAGGGCCAGGGATCGTCCAAGGCCAAGTACGTTCCCTTGATCGGAATGGAACCGGGAACCCTTCAGTCCTTGGCCCGACGCTCTATCCACTGAGCCAAACCGGTTAGGGCAAGAACTCTGAAGGTTTTACATGCCTCCCCATCGCAGCTCTCCACCACCCTCCAGTGGATACTTACTGCAGCCTCCTAACCGGTCATCTGCATCTATGCCGCCCTCAAGTTCATTCTGCATACATCAGTCAGATGCCTCTTTTAAAAATAGAGACCAAACTCCTTTCTGTGACCTATAAAGTTCAGCCTGGTCTAACCTCTACCAACCCCAACCTTATCAACTTACTCATCTCAGCCAAAGTCCCCTTTTCAGTTCTTGGAACAATATACCAGGCTCTTTCCTGTCTCAAGGCCTTTGCCTTTGCTGCATCTCAAGTGGGTCCCTTTTGGTATTTTGTCTTAACAACCTGTTTACAGAATATTAATCATCCTAATTTGTTTATCATTTCTCCAACTAATTTTTAAGTCCACAGGAACCTAGACTCTATCTTTGTCATCATTGAAAACTCAGATGCCTGCACAATATTTGGCATATAGTAGATGCTCAGTATTTATTAAGTGAATGAAAGAATTGGTTTTAATTCATTTATTCATTCAACAAGCATTGGGCCTCCCCTGTTTGTATAATCATTTTGTTTGTTTGATTTTAAATATATTTTTATTGGTTCCAGAGAGGAAGGGAGAGGGAGAGAGAGGGAGAGGTGAAAACATCAATGAGAGAGAATCATAAATGGACTCACAACCTAGGCATATGCCCCTACCGGGAATTGAACGTTACTTCCAGGTTCATAGGTCAACTCTCAACCACTGAGTCACGCTGGCAGGGTTGTATTATCTATGTTTATAAATATAGTTCACAAAGCACTTACACCTGGGTTATACCATTTATTCATTGTGTACTTACTTTATGCCAAGAACTGTGCTGGGTCCTGAGGTACACAAGAGGAAAAGAGAGTCCCCTTCTTTGAAGTGTTCACAGCCCATGAAAGAGACATGAGGCACAATAGAAACCCCTAAGTCTGCCACAGGAAGCGAGAAAAGGCTAATTCCCCAAAGGCAGTGACAGGAGCAGAAATCTGAAGCGAGTGGAAGACCCAGGGAGGGTATGTATGCCAGGCAGAAGAAATAGATTGTGCAAAATCTTTTCTTTTTACTAGTAAATATATTTTTATTGATTTTAGAGAAGAAGGGAGAGGGAGAGACAGAAAAAAAAAAATCAATGATGAGAGAGAATCATTGATTGGCTGCCTTCTGCACTCACACAATTGGGGATGGAGCTCGCAACGCAGGCGTGTGCCCTGACCAGGAATCGAACCGTGACCTGGTTCATAGGTCAACGCTCAATCACTAAGCCACTGGCTGGGTTGATTGTGCAAAATCTTGGCAGCACTAAAAAGTCATGTTATGCTAGGTGTTAGGGTACAGGCTGCATGGGGAGAATGATGAGGCGTAGGTTATGTCAGGCTGAGAGGTTTAAATATTATCCTTGAAGAAAATAGGATAGAAGTTACTCATATTTTTTTCAGGTGAGAAACTGATGTTTGGTCCTTTATAGATTAAGTGGCCGGGCTGATTCCCTCTTCTTTCCACTCTACTGCGCTGTTGGCACTTATTAGCCATATTAGTGTGAATGACAAGTTCTAGGGATGGTGCAGTATTGGAAGGCTCACAGGTGAAATAGGCAGAGCAGGTCTTGATTTGCTTTCTGGCAACTGTGTGTTGCCATCTCTCCCTGCCCCGGGCTCTAGATCCAGCAGTTCCTGAGGTTAGCCCAGCGGGGGACAGAGGAAAAGGAGAGAGAAGGAGCTCTGGTCAGCCTTCGCCGAGGCTTGCAGCACCCAGAGACACAGCAGACCTTCATCAGGTCAGTGGGTGGCTGGGGTTCTAAGGGATGAATAGGAGTGTGGAGGGGAGGGGCCATAGGCTGAGCAGTGCTCTGGTACTCACTCATGTAGGCTGGAGGGCAGCATGCGGACCCTGGTCGGGCTCCTGACTAGCAACCAGGCCCTGTTGCAGCTTGAGGCGGCTCGGTGCCTTCACGAGCTCTCTCATTCCGAGCAGTCTGAGGTGGCTGAGGCCTGCCTGCCAGCCACATCCTACCTTCTCACCTACCTCGCCGGTCACAGCCCAGACCTTATAGTAAGCCCTGTCACTTCTACCTTGTTTTTGGCTTGAGTTTAAAAATTGTGTCTTTGGGTCCAGTTTGAACTGGCAGGTGGGGAGAAGAAAACCTGTTTCCCCTGATGCCCACAGCCATGTACACACCTATCATCTCCTACCCTCCTGTGCCCAGAGCCTGGAGAACAGGGCTGCTCCATCTTCCCCATCCCCACCCCCACCCTGGCTTAACATGGGCCAAGCCCAGTGCTTTTGTTCTGCTCTCAGGAGCTCTGTCTGTATACACTGGGTAACCTGATTGTGGAGAGTGAAGCTGGGAGAAGGCAGCTCCTGCCACAGGGCATTGTTCCAGCCTTGGCTTCCTGCATCCAGGTGAGTGTCCACCCTGACTCTCCTGAACAGCCCTCCCCTTACTTCTTTGCACAAGCCCCAGCTGCTCTGGTTGTGCAGTTCCAGCCACTGCCATATGCTAAGGGGTTGGAAATCTTCCGGCCTAGCTTCCAGAGCCAGATCCCTACCCTGTCTCCTTCTAGTCCCCCCATCTGGCTGTGCTGGAAGCCCTTGGATATGCCTTGTCCCAGCTGCTGCAGGCTAAGGAAGCGCCAAAGAAGATCATCCCGTAAGTAGAACTGTTTCCAGATGTGCAGTCAGGAGTGACCCATTTGGTAGTGTAGCCCCAAAGACCTGATCAAGTCTGGTTCCAACGCTGTTGTACATTTAACCCCATGTGGCTGGCTGGGAAGGGCTTTGGGTTTGGACACTTTCCCACCTGCTATTAGGGTTTGGGAAGAGTGACAGGCATCTTGCCTTCTGTGGTTTCTACTCAGAGCTCTGCTTCTGCCCGCAGTTCCGTCCTGGCCTCCCCTATTCCGGAGCATATGCTGCGACTATTGCAACCTGGACCAAAGCTGAACTCTGGGGTCGCTGTGGAGTTTGCCTGGTGCCTTCACTACATCATCTGCAGGTAACACAGGCCAGTTGGGAAAGTGCCACAGACCTTTCACGGGTTCCCTTCATGACACTCAGGTGTTTGAACTTCGGTTTCTGGAATTATTGTGGTGAAAATGCCCCCTCTCAATAATTCCATGAAAGGTCTTCCTTTCATGGTCTTCTCTTCTTGGAATCCAGGAAACCCACAGACCTAGGCTGTTTGCAAGCTTAAAGGTGGGAATGGCTTAGTAACTACTTGCTTCTTATTGCCCAGCCAGGTCAATAATGCCCTGCTCATCACCCATGGGGCTGTCTCCACTCTGGGGCTGCTACTGTTGTACTTGGCTGGGACTGTCCAGAGTTCTGAAGATGCAGGACTGGAGTTGGTAGGTGAAGAGGACAGGTCAAGATCTGCGCAACCTTTCTTCCTACTGTTCCTCTTCCAGTGTGCAGGGAGCCCCCTCCTCCTTACACCCGACCCCCAACTTGTCTTTGCAGCTGGTGTGCCCTGTGCTTCGGTGTCTAAGCAACTTGCTAACAGAGGAAGCGGTGGAAGCTGGGGGAGGGCAGGTGCAGCTCAGAGATGAGCGTGTCGTGGTATCCATATTTATCCTTCTGCAGTTCCTCCTCCAGAAACACCCCAGCCTGCTTCCTGAGGGCCTTTGGCTTCTTAATAACCTCACCGGTAAGAGCCATAATCTGTGTAGGCTGGACCTTTAGATACTGGGAAAACTTCCTTGTGGCTTGGACTGAGGTGGGTAGGATTGAGAGGGGGCATTTTCAGGCTGCAGTTAGGGGGACTTCACCCTGACATTTTTCCTTTCAGCAAACAGCCCTAGCATCTGTACCTCCTTGCTCTCCCTGGATCTGATCAAGCCTCTCTTGCAGTTGTTGCCAGTATCCAATGTGGTGAGCGTATTGGTAGGTATTGGGAGTCATCTGAGCCCAAGGTCTAGTGGCTGAAGTGTAAACAGTAGGAGCTCAGAAGTGCCCTTACCTGAGAGCTGGCAGGTGGTATAGTATGGATGGCCTCAGGGCTAGACCCATCTGGGTGTGAGTCCCTAAATTGGTTTACTAGATACTATTCTTGGGAAAATCAACTAACCATCTTAAGCTTCAGTTTCCTGATTTATAATTAGGAATAATAATACATGAGGGCAGTTGTGATTACAGAACTTGCTTATGAAATTGCTTGGCACAGTGTCTTAGGCATGTGGTCAGCACTCTATATTTTTTGCTGTCATTGGCTTTCATCCTTTGTGGGGACTGTGTATATACATATCTGTCTACAGGTGCTCACAGTTCTGTGCAACGTTGCAGAGAAGGGTCCTGCTTATTGCCAGCATCTGTGGCCAGGGCCCCTGCTCCCCTCCTTGCTGGACACATTGGCCTTCTCTGACACTGAAGTAGTAGGCCAGAGTTTGGAGCTGCTGCAACTGCTGTTCCTCTACCGGCCAGAGGTTGGTTTCTTGTCCTGTTCTCAATCCTTGTTCTGAAGCTTCTAGCCTCACCATGGCCCCTTTCCTTCCAGTTCTAACTGTAGCCACTCCTCTGGACCTGGCTAGCCTGTGTCCAGGTCAGAGCCTACAGCCTCTTGCTGGGAATGTACCCTTTCCCAAGAAGAGGTGGGCTAACCCATAAGGCTCTGGGAATTGAGTGTCAGGGCACAGAGACCCAGGTGTCGAATCCTTTTCTTCCCTGCCTTTAGGCTGCCCAGGCCTTCCTGCAGCAATCAGGGCTGCAGGCCCTTAAAAGGCACGAGGAGGAAGCACAGCTCCAGGACCGAGTGCATGCTCTCCAGCAGAAAGCTCTTCATAGATGACCTGGCTTCTCAGTGTCACTTTACTCCACTCCCCCACCCCTCAGCTTCTGTGCCCCATGGAGCCCCTTATGGGGGTGGGAGGGTTAGTGACCATAATGAGGCCTCATGTTCTCTGATTCCACATCTAAGCCTAAACCAAGACCTTTAGACTCCAGCCCTCCCTTTCACTCAGCACTGTCCAGCCAGGATTAGAGGGAAGTGGGTGTGGGCTACTTACTCTGGGGCCCTGGAATCTCTCTTTTTTCTTTGGTTTTGTTTTGCTTTAGCAGCTGGTAGCTTTTGATGGGGCAGAATAAAGTTTTATTTTTATATTAAACTGCTTTGCCTCAGTGGTTGCATAATAAGGGGTAGAGGGTGGAATGAGGTAAGAACATCCTGAGACAGCATCTTACAGCACAAGCTTTATAAACAACAGAACACATTTTTCCATATTGTACTCAGTCCAGCAGAGCCCAGGCTGTGGGGTTGTTGCTCATAGTCCTCAGCGAAGGCTTCAGGCTTTGCCACTTAGCACATTCTCTAGGGCTCTGGTTACCTGATCAGCACTAAAGTTGTTCAAGGAGACATTCTTCTCTTGGCCAAATGCTGGAGAGAAAGAGAGGTGACTAAGTATCCACTCTGCACCGTGGGGGCTAGCAGAGTATAACAACAGGTCTTTGTCATCAACTTAAGGTGTTGTTACGATAGGAAAGGTAGTAAAGAGATGACCAAGGTGGATGTAGTATGCCTAGAATTTCCCCCTTGGGCCTCAAGCACATCTAGGAAGCCTAGGTCCAACTAGAATTTTGGCTGATTGTGGGTGGCCACAATGGTAAGGAAGGTGCTTTAACGAAATGTTAAGGGGCACAGCAGGCATTTATTACCACGTGAGCAGTGCATTGTATGGACCTAATCTTGGCAGGATACCCATTCTGTGGTTCCCATAGACCATCTAGTCTAATGCACTATAGCTATTTGAGTCCATCTCTTCTAGTCTACTGGTTTTTGGAAGGAGAACCTTTTTCCTCCTTTAGTTTTTAGTGCTTGGCATTACTACACATGCCCACTGTTAGAACCAATCTGCCTTAGGTGTGACTTCCCTCTTTCTCCAGACATTCCTAGGGCAAGGTGTTAAAAACCACGATTAGTCCGGCTGGTGTGGCTCAGTGGATGAGCATGGACCCATGAACCAGGAGGTTACAGTTTCATTCTCTGTCAGGACACACGTCCTGGTTTCGGGCTCGATCCCCCATGGGGGTATGCAGGAGACAGCCAGTCACTGATTCTCTCTCATCACTGATGTTTCTATCCCTCTCTGCCTCTCCCTTCCTCTCTCTCAAATCAATAAAAAAATATTTAAAAAAATGATTAAAATACCACTATTCAGTATGTATAAATACTGATTGCATGCCTACTAAGTGTTAGGCAACATGAAAGTAATTTTCAGATTTAGCAAATTGAAATAGGTAATTGTTACAGATTAGTAAGAAGCTAGGAAAACTCCAGGACTTAAGGAATAGGGAAAGATAGTTAAACAGTAGTTTGCAGCCACCTAGTAAATCCTATTTTCCCTAAACCAAGGATGCTTAATAGTATAGGGAGACTGATAACAAATCTAATTAAGTGCCATTTGCCAACCACACAGACAAAAGAATAAATCTCATTTTGGTAGATCATACAGCTAATGAACATTCTATTGATCCCCGTAAGACCTGCCCTAAACACCCAGCCTTTGAAATGCCTGAAAAGCCCAGCTGATATGGCTCAACGGTTGAGCCTCAATCTATGAACCAGGAAGTCATGGTTCAATTCCCGGTCAGGGCACATGCCAGGGCTGTAGGCTCAATCCCCAATATGGGGTGTGCAGGAGGCAGCCGATCAATGATTCTCTCTCATCATTGATGTTTCTCCCTCTTCCTTCCTCTCTGAAATCAATAAAAATATATTTAAAAATACATATATATTGTAAAATAAAATGCCTGAAAAGGGCCCTGGCCAGTTGCTAAGTGGTTAGAGCGGAGTTCCACTGACTGAAGGGTCATGGGTTTGATTCCTGGTCAAGGGCACATACCTTGGTTGCAGGTCCGATCCCTGACCCTGGTCAGGTGTGTGGGGGAGGCAACCAGTTGATATGTCTCTCCCTTCTCCCTTCCTTCCACTCTCTCTAAAGATCAATGGAAAAAAATATCCTTGGGTGAGGATTCATCAAAAAATAAAACAAAATGCCTGAAAAGGAAGGTCCCAGGGTGCTCTCCCTCCAGGGAGCACACCTGTGCCATTCCCTTCGCCCTCTCCTTCCCCCACTGACACGTGTCCCCTAACCTCTAAGGGACCCATAAGACTTGCAACCAGGGGAGCAATGGTCCTTGTTTCACTGTCCTTCGCATGTTTTTGCTGAAGTCAGTAAATTCTTGCTTGCTTTTCTACATTTTGTCTCTTTTTTGTTAATTCTCAGCCGAGGATATTTGTGCCATTGGTTTGTAGAGTGGAAGGGAGGGAGGGAGGAGAGAGAAAAACATCGATGTGAGAGACACAACCATTAGTTGCCAGCAGAATTCACCCCCCCCCCCCCCCCCCACACACACACTGGGGTGGGCATGAAGCTGCAAAAGGTACATGTCCTTGACTGGGTATCAAACCTTCGACCTTTCAGTGTGCAGGCCGATGCTCTAAACGTAACACCAACCAGGACCACATTTTGTCCCTTGATTGAAATCTTCCTCTCAAGACAAGTACTGAGGTCCTCCTCTGGCCAGTAACAGTAATATGATAAAAAGGAGGTAGGGGCAATGTTACATAACTGGTCTGGGAATGCCTTTTTTAAAAAAAAATATATTTTATTGATTTTTTACAGAGAGGAAGGGAGAGGGATAGAGAGTTAGAAACATCGATCAGCTGCCTCCTGCACACCTCCTATTGGGTATATGCCCACAACCAAGGTACATGCCCTTGACCGGAATCGAACCTGGGACCCTTGAGTTGGCAGGCCGACGCTCTATCCACTGAGCCAAACCAGTTAGGGCTGGGAATGCCTTTTTGAAGAGATGATATATAAACTCAGAACTGAAAATAACAACCTGAATAAGGAGCAAGCCATGGATGTCTGGCAGAAGTGCATTCTAGGAACATATATGTAAAGGTGCAACCCTGTTATATCCAGCTACATAACCCTCTCATATAATGAAGATTAAGTGAGATTTGGGTAGGAAAGCACCCAGCACAGAGCCTAGCATTAAGTTTCAACACAGAATCATTACTTTAGGTTTTCAGTATTGAGATCCTAACTCTCCACCTGGACTGGCACTGCCCACACATAATCTGGAAGGACCTATATTGACGAGAAATGATCAGCACCTATTCTTCCCCCGTCCGAAACCTCTTCTGGATTAAAAAAATGACAGCTCCTGTTCCCTAAGTAGGACGGGGCCGCCTCCACACGGCTGTTACCCAGGACACAAAGCATCCTATAATCCAGTGGTTCTCAACCTTCCTAATGCCGCGACCCTTTTATAGTTCCTCATGTTGTGGTGACCCCCAACCATAAAATTATTTTTGTTGCTACTTCATAACTGTAATTTTGCTACTGTTATGAATCGTAATGTAAATATCTGCTATGCAGGATGTATTTTCATTGTTACAAATTGAACATAATGAAAGCATAGTGATTAATTACAAAAACAATATGTAATTATGTATGTGTTTTCTGATGGTCTTAGGCGACCCCTGTGAAAGGGTCGTTCAACCCTCAAAAGGGGTCGCGACCCACAGGTTATAATATAATCGTACAAACGTAATAATATAATCGTACAAAAGTAAATCTCCTTATTGGCAACAAGGTCAAAAGCAAGGCCAAAGCCTCAGTTCCAGCCTCTCTACAAGTTTTTGTCTGACCGTGGGCGGCGGTTTCTCTTCTCGAACCCTTGTTTCCCCACCGGGGCCCCAGACCCCCAGCGTCCTGCACTCACCGTAGCGGGCCCAGAGCTTGGGCTGCACCTCGGAGCACTCGCGGATGAGGATGGGCAGGTCGGGGTTCGCCTTCTTCAGCTCCACATAGCGTTTCTCGATGAAGTCCCTGCGGGGCCCGAGAAAGCGCCGCGCGTACGGTGTGGGCGCGGGCCTTCCCAAACGCCCGGGAGGTCGAGGTCGTGACCCCGAAGCCCCGGAGCCCGCCCGCCCGCCCACTACGCTGCGCCTCACCTGACGCCCTGGCTGCCAGGCGAGCGCTGGCATAAGTGGATGCGAATCTCCCGTAGACCCAGCTTGGCCCCGACGCCCCGACTCGCCGCCGCCGCCGCCGCCGCCATCTCCGCTGGTACCCAAGCCCCTGCCAGGCCTTCCGGCCAAGTTCTCCCGACCGACCAATCGCGGACCTCCAGTCCCGCGATAGCTGGGCTGACGTAAGGGGGCGGGGCCACGTGTAGCTACTGTAGGGCGCCCCGGTGTCCTCCAGTTTCCTGGCGAGAGTGTGGAGCGCAAGGCACTGTGGGTTGTTTGCGGAGGTGCATTGTGGGGAGAAGGCTGTCGCTGCTCTGTTGTTGGAGACTGAGTGCTTCGTGGCGTTGAGACCGCCGACGATATGCCGGAGCGGGATAGTAAGTATCGGATTATCTGTCCTTTCTTCTCTGAGGAACTCGGGACACTTGGCGCGTTCTTTTGGCTTTAAACCGGGCGTGTGTTCGGGTGGGTGGAGAAGGGCCGGAGTGACGCCTGGAGCCGGGGAAGCCGTTGGGCCCCGAGTGAGGCTGGGCAGCTCAGACTGTCTCTAAGTCTCGTCTTTGCCCCAGGAGACGGCAGATAGAGCTGATCCGTGAACTTTTCTCCCCTTCTCCCCAACCCGGTATCACTTAATTTGGGTTGAGCCAATTTGTCTCTTACGTGGCATCTTAGATGTTATCCCGAGGAAGGCTGCTGATCCTCCCGCGCTGGTTTAGGGGTCCCCTCCTCTGGGCCCCTACAACCCTTTGTATTTTTTCCACTTCATTACTTACTGCATTGGATTGTTACTGTCGTTCTTGCCTTTTCTTCCTCACTAGATTGTGAGCAATTTGACAGGAAAGCAAACCTGTATTGTTCACTGTTAAATCCCCGACTTTTGCACAGGACCTGACACAAAAGAGATTGATTGAATTTATGCTAATTCTTTTTCTTAGGTGAACCGTTCTCCAACCCTTTGGCCCCAGATGGCCACGATGTGGATGATCCTCACTCCTTCCACCAGTGAGTGTTTTGACCTAGGACCATGGGAAAAAGGTGGACAATGAGCAGGGTGGAGGTGGAGGTGGTGGTGGTGATGGTCAAAGAATCCTGAGTGTCTTGTCAGCAGGGATGGTCAAAAAATTGTACCCCTTGCCCCTTTAATAGGATCCCTGCAGGCCAGGCCTCTAGTATGCATATAAGATCTTTGGTTAATCACTTCCCGCCCTCCCCCTCTCCCCTTCCCTCTGAGATTCATCAGTCTGTTCCCTGTTTCCCTGCCTGTGTATTGAGTGTCTGCCCCCTGGCAGTCATTGCACGTCATAGCTGTTGGACGGTCGCTTAGGCTTTTTTATATATAGTAGAGGCTCAGTGCACAAAATTCATGCATTGGGGGGGGGTCCCTCAGCATGGCCTGCACCCTCTCGCAATCTGGGACCCCTGGCCCCTAACCACTTGCCTGCCTGATCGCCCCTAACTGCCTCGGCCCCCACCACCGTGGCTTTGTCCGGAAGGATGTCTGGAAGGTCGTTTGTCTGTCTGGTCTAATTAGCATATTATACTTTTATTATAGATAGATGCTAGTAATTGGCCATATATAGACGAATGGAATTGTTTGGTCATAGGATGTACACACTTAAATCTATAATAATAAAAGCGTAATATGCAAATTGACCTAATGACTGAACAGCAGAACAACCGTCTGATCTTCCAGACAACCACGCTATGACATGCACTGGCACCAGGCCAGCCAAGGCGGGTGCGATGCAATTGGTTGGGGGGCCCCACCATCGCCCCATGACCGCCCCGGAGAGGGAGACCCAGGCCACCCTCTGTGGGCCGATTGATGGGGGTGGCTCCATGATCGATCACCCTGCAGAGGGAGACCCAGGCCACCAGCCGGCAGGGCAATTGGGAGGAAAGCGGGGGGCAATCGCAGAGCCCCGTGATCCAGTCGCCCCAAAGAGGGAGGCCCAGGCTACCCGGCTGGCAGCACTGCGGTGTGTGGGCAGGGCCTCCCTCTGCACAGTGATCAATTGTGGAGCCCCGGCTGGGTGGGCAGGGCCACCAGCCAGTGATGCTGTGGTGGGTGTGCAGGGCCAGCCAGTGATTGCCCCACAGAGGGAGACCCAGGCCAGCCAAGCAATCGTACCCCATGCCTGTCTCCTGCAGAGGGAGATCAGTGGCAGGGGAGTGGGGGCACTGCCGCACAGATGGCAAGCAGTGGCAGTGGTGGGGGTGGCGGAGGAAGGAAAGCCCCAATAGGCCCTGATCGCCGGCCAGGCCTAGGGACCCTACCCAAAGGGTCCTGGATTGCAAGAGGGTGCAGGCCGGGCTGAGGGACACACACACACACACACACACACACACACCCCGTGCACAAGTTTCATGCAATGGGCCTCTAGTTTTAATATATACTGTCAGATTGCCCTCCAAATAGATTCTAGTTACATTTTGTCAGCAGTGTATGAAACTATCCACTTTTCAAATTCTCTCTCATAGTTAATTTATCAAATGTTTTTAAAAATTAACACTGAAAAATAAATAAAAATTAGCACTCTGGCCCTAGCTGTTTTGGCTCAGTGGATAGAGTGTCGGCCTGGGAATTGAAGAGTCCCAGGTTCGATTACAGTCAAGGGCATATGCCTGAGTTGTGGGCTTGATCCCCAGTAGGGGGTGTGCAAGAGGCAGCCAATTAGTGAGTCTCTCATCATTGATGTTTCTATCTCTCTCCCCTCTCCCTTCCTCTCTGAAATCAATAAAAACATATTTAAAAAAAAGTCAGAAGAGATTAAGTCTAAGATTAGAAATCAACTCTTTGAGGAAATAAGATAATAGTTTTTTTAAAAATATATATTTTATTGATTTTTTACAAAGAGGAAGGGAGAGGGATAGAGAGTTAGAAACATCGATGAGAGAGAAACATTGATCAGCTGCCTCCTGCACACCCCCTATTGGGGATGTGCCCGCAACCCAGGTACATGCCCTTGACCGGAATCGAACCTGGGACCCTTCAGTCCGCAGGCCGACACTCTATCCACTGAGCCAAACCGGTTTCGGCAAGATAATAGTTTTTAAAAAAATTATCACTCTGATGCATTAGAAGTGGCATGTTTGTTTGTTTGGTTAATTCTCTCCTGAGGATTTTTTCCGTTGATTTTTTAAAAAAATATATTTTTATTGATTTCAGAGAGGAAGGGAGAGGGAGAGAGATAGAAACATCAATAGTGAGAGAGAATCATTGATCGGCTGCCTCCTGCAGGCCCCATACTAGGGATCCAGCCCATAACCCAGGCATGTACCCTGACTGGAAATTGAACCGTGACCTCCCGGTTCATGGGTCTCATAGCTTGATACTCAACCACTGAGCAATGCCGGCTGGGCTTGCCATTTACTTTTTTAGAGAGAGTGGAAAAGAAGGGGAGAGAGAGAGAGAAAAAAAAAAATCCATGTAAAAAAGACACATAGATTGGTTGCCTCCTGAACATGCCCCAATGGGGCTGGGGATTGAACCTGCAACCCAGGTACATGCCCTTGATTGGGAATTGAACCTGAGACCCTTTGGTGCTTGAACTGATGCTCTAAGCAAAACTGGACAGGGTGTGGCATGTTTTTTCTTTTTTATTGTTTAGTGATTTGAGAGACAGAACAATATTGATCTGTTCTTCTACTTATTTATGCATTCATTGGTTGATTCTTGCATGACCAGGCATGGAACCTGCATCCTTGGCCTATTGGGATGGTGCTCTAATCAACTGAGCTACCTCATCAGATGGCATGTTTTTGTTTTAAGTTGTATTTTCTTATTTCCAGTAAAATTAGCCATTTTTTTGCATATTTTTTTTCCAAATCTTATTGGGTACTAATGTTTAAAATCTTTGCCTTCTAGATCAAAACTCACTAATGAAGACTTCAGGAAACTTCTCATGACCCCAAGGGCTGCACCTACCTCTGCACCACCCTCGAAGTCACGTCACCATGAGTAAGTTCTGGGGTGATCCAACCTGTGTCCCATCTCCTTCCTACAGAAAATCTACTGATCTAGGTGTCTTAGGAACTGGAAGGCTAGTTCTTTTTGAACAAAGCCTGTGGTTCTGATTCTTTCTTTCTGGAGATTGAAGCTCCATGGAGCCTGGCATGCTCTGGGATCCCCTTCTTCTCAGAATATGTTCCATGAACCACTTGTACTAGAGTTGCTGCTGGTGCTTAAATAGGCAGATTTCTGGGCCCATTCTAGCCCCATGGGCTCATATTTGGAGGCAAATATTTTGGGGTACATAATTTTAATAGTCCTTTAAGTGGTTACAATCCTCTCTAAAGTGAGAACCACTCACCTACAAATATTAACATGGATCTTTCCTGATTGAAACTCTTGCTTTGGCCAGTGTTCTAGACCAGCGGTCGCCAACCAGGTGTTGTACGGACCACTGGTGGTCCATGAGTTCCAAAAGGTTGGCGACTGCTGGTTTAAGGAAACCTTTGGAGCAGTGGTTGCCAACCGGTGGTCCACAGACCACTGGTGGTCTCTGAGGTCCGAAAGGTTGGTGATGGCTGTTCTAGACCTTTCTTCATCCCTCACGGCCACTTGGGGTTTCTGGGGCTGTGGTAATATTTTGCTATCAGTGAGTTTCTTTCTCTTCTAGGATGCCAAGGGAGTACAATGAGGATGAAGACCCAGCTGCACGACGGAGAAAAAAGAAAAGGTGAAGGAAGGATGGAGGAGTGTGGGTTTTTTTGTTTGTTTTTGGTAAATCTTCATGAGGATATTTTTTCCCATTGATTTTTAGAGAGTGTGGAAGGGAGACAGAGAGAGACATCGATTGGTTGCCTCCCACGTGCGCTCCAACCGGGGCCGGGGATTGAACTTGCAACCCAGGTATATGCCCTTGACTGGGAATCGAACCCACAATCATTCGGTGCAAGGGCTGACACTCTATCCATTGAGCGACACTGGCCAGGGCAGTCTTGGGTTTTAATTTGGACAGTGTCACATGGATGTTTCTCTCTCTTTCTCCCCCTCGCTCCCTCCCTCCCACTCTCTCTTAAAAGACTAGAGACTGAGGTTTTCCTTTTCATAAGACTGCTTTCTTTCATGGTGGAGAGGAGTGATATGTGGAGTGGTAGTTTAGGGTTTTGGAGTTAGCCTGTGGTGTTTTAATCTCCTCTTTACCA